CCACGTATTGACTGTGTGATCGTGGATGTTTCTATACTCAGTTTCTCAATCATTAAAATAGGAAAAATAATTCCTTCCGGATGTGCACCCTACAAAACCGTACAAATCCCTAAGATCACACTCAAGGCACTATAGACTTGCAGAGATCTTGCCAGCACCTGATGTCAGAGGTGAAGCCAGCTGGATTTCTGGGTCAGGGGTAGACTTGGAGAACTTTTCTGTCTTATAAGAGGATTGTAAAATATGCCAATCAGCACACTGTAAAATGGACCAATGGGTGCTCTGTAAAATGGACCAATCAGCAGGACATGGGCGGGGACAAATGAGGGAATAAAAGCTGGCCAGCCTCCGCCCCACGCCCAGCCAGCCGCGGAACCTGCACAGGTGCCTGTTTCCTGCTGTGGAATCTTTGTTCTTTCACTCTTCACAATAAATGTTGCTGCTGCTCTCTCTTTGGGTCTATGCCACCCTTGAGAGCTGTAACACTCACCACAAAGGTCCACGGCTTCATTCTTGAAGTCAGTGAGACCAAGAACCCACCAGAAGGAACCAACTCCAGACACAATGTGACCTCCACAGTTTACGGATGAGAGACCTGGGGTCCGAGTTGGGGAAAGGAGTTCCCTGGACAAGGACCTCAGCTCTCCCCAGTCTTGCTCCAATAGTGCTCCAAATGTCCTTCTATGTTCCTAACAGCCTATCGCAAGCTACCTCCTGTCCCTCTTCTCCTTGAACCATCACCTCTGATGAGACTGGAACTTAAACCTGCATGGTGTTTGCAAGCCTGATGTGATTCTGGAAACTGCATTGCGGCCACTGACCCAGAAATTACCTCATCAGAGAGCTTGCTCGGAACTCGGCCCAGATAGGTGTAAACAGGACACCACCCACGGCACCCCACGGGAAATGAGAGCTCTTGGAGGTGCACTCTCTCCAACCTGGGCTCCTTCCTTCCACCTGAGGGGGGCTCCCTGCCCACCCCCACCCCCCCACCCCCCGCATGTACATCTGAATTCTGAGGCATCCCCTCCAGTCTCTGCGCTTCATAGATGAGGATGATGACTGGCGGCCCAGGGAAGAGAAGCCATGTGCCCAAGGTCATGAGATCCGTGGTGGCAAAATGTGAGCACAAAGGTCTGGACGGGGGTGTCCAGAGCAGAAACGGACACAAGACGAGTCTGTGCGGAGCTGAGGAGTATTACCAGGACGTGGGGCTAAGCAGTGGGATTACCCGGGCAGGTGTCGAGGGCCTCCAGGTCTGGACGAGTGGGGTGGAAAGACCCTACCATGCTTAATGCAAACATGTAAGTGGTATAAATAAATCTGCTTCGAAAGCTGTGTTTGTGGCGGAGGATGCTCACCACTCATTCCGCCGTGGTCTTTCCACAAAAAGGAGGTACATTCCACCCCCTCCTCAGGAAGGAACAGGCCGGAACACACCTGGCCCCTCTTCCCGCTGCAGTGACCACTGTGGTTGGTGAGATGAGAGAGGCTTCTGTGCAGGACAGTCTCGGCATGGCAGATCTGCGGCTGCCTTCTCAGAGGGGCTTGCTTTCAAGGTGGTGTCTGGGAACGGGGCTTTTGGAGCGTCTCTCCGTCCCCTGACTGCTAGGAGTGCTTTGCCAGGCCTGGACTGTTCCTGCAATGGGTGTATGAACAGCTGCTTTCCTGCTGGGAATCTGGGATTTGGGTGGTTGCCATGCAGAGGGGCCCACGTGGCCAGTGCAGGACGCACGCCCTGGGCTCTGAGCCTCGAATGGGCTTTGCGGGTTGCCGCATTCTTCTCGGCTGGAGGAAGGAGCACGCGTGGCGCCCACACAGGAGAGCGGCAGCAGCCTGCGCTCAGAGTCTCCAGACTGGGCCTGTGTCTTTCTCCTTTGCTAAGTCTATCATGTAGGCCTTCACCATGATAAACTTTAGCTGTGTGCATAGCTGGGAGTCCTAGCAAACCCCTGATCGTGGGGGTTGGCTTTGGGGACCTCCAGAAGCAAGTCTGTCCTGCTTATATCTGATCCAGGTCAGCACCCCTTCCTCTCTGGGCCCTGCTGCCCCAAGGGTTTCCACTTCCGTGTGAGAAGCACGCAGAGCTGACCAGCAAAGGCCCCAGACCCACGGGGCCTCACCTAGGCTTCTCGGGACACAGCAGGTCAGGGTGTCAGCGGCATTCACTCTGGCATTCACTCACAAAACCAGAGTGAGTCCATCTTGAATAGGCACTGGGTGAAATGAGGCTGAGACCTACTGGGCTGCATTCCCAGAGAGTTAAGGCATTCTAAGTCACAGGATGAGACAGGAGGTTGGCACAAGACACAGGTCACAAAGACCTTGCTGATAAAACAGGATGCAACACACTGGCTAAAACCCACCAAAACCAAGATGGCGACAACAGTGGGCTCTGGTTATCCTCGCTGCCTATTACATGCTAATTATAATATATTAGCATATAAGAGACACTCCCACCAGTGCCATGACAGTTTACAGATGCCATGGCAATGTCAGAAATACCCTAGATGATCTGAAAGGAAGAAGAAATCAGTTCTGGGAAATCCCCACCCCTTTCCCAGAAAACTCATGAATAATCCACCCTTGTTTAGCACATGATCCAAAAATAACCATAAAAATAGCCAACCAGCCAAGCGCAGTGGCTCATGCCTTTAATC